TGAGCTGAAGGCGGGCTGGTCTGCCAAAAGACACGCCTGACCCCCCGAGAACATCTGGGGGCCTGTTTCCAAGTGGGTCTGGCTGGGGAGAAGCGGACGGGTTGTCCCTTTGTGACGCGACCCAGGTGAAGCCCTCGTCTGCTTCCTGCGGGCCCTGCAGCTCCTGCGGTCCTTTGCCCAGACGTGCAGTCGGGGACATGGTGCCCACCCAGCCTCTCCGGCTCCCTGCCTTCACGGCACCCCCTCTCCCTTGGGTCTGTGACGTTTTCCTTTCCTCTGCAGGGTTCCCAAGGTTTTCCCGGCTTCCCCGGGGCGAGTGGAGAGAAGGGGGTTCGGGTAAGTAGCGCCCCTTCTCCGGGGCCCTCCTGCCCGCCAGGGGCCCGAAAGGGCCTGCAAGGAAGCCAAGAGGAGGGTCCAGGCTCCTGTGTGAGGTGCTGGTGGATCCCCCAGCCCCGGAATCCCTCGAAGCCCCCCTGCTCAAAGGGGGGGCCACCTGCCCTTTCATCACCGTTATTCGGCCTGATGGCGTTGATGTTGGTTGCCCACGATCGAGGGTTGTTGTTGGTCCCATTCCCAGGAGACGCGCCAGCCTGGAGAACTCTTTCAGTCCCTGCAAAGCAGTCGCTTGGAAGCTCTTCCTAATAACTCTGCACATGCTCAGGGCCCTTACAGTGCACTGAAAGGGGCCTCTGTCCTGGCACTGGGGAGGAAGGCTTTGATTCTTGTCAGTAGAGCTGGGGGTTTCTTCCAGACCTGGATCATCAGTCCGTGCCCCCCCACCCCCGCCTTGGCTGTTCAGCTGCCGAGAGCCAGGAATGGTGTGGGGGCGGCGTTTGCAGGGTGCTGCTTCTCAGATCTGCCTTTGCTCCTTTCCCCCCACAGGGTCTCTCTGGGAAAATTGGCCCCCGAGGCGAACGAGGACCCTCCGTGAGTCAGAGGGAGCTGATGCCTTTCCGGGGAGGGGGCAGGCTGGGGGGTTTACCCGCCTTCCTCCCCCCCTTTCCTTCCAGTGCCAAGTGTGAATGATGGGCAGATTGGTCTGGTGATGGCCCCAAATGGGGTGGGGTAGCACCTGGGTCCGGGTGTGGCCCCTGGACAGACGCAGGCTTTGTGTTTTCCAGGGCCCCAGAGGACAGCGGGGGCCACGAGGAGCCACCGGGAAGCTGGGAGCAAAGGTGAGTCTGATCGGGGGCTCGGAGGAAGCCCAGGCACGCGGGGCTGGGGGGCAGCGGTGCCCAGGCCGAGCCCAACCCTCTCCTGGGTTTGGTGGCCTTGTGCTGGGTGTTGAGCAGCTGCCAGGGAGCAGGTGCCATTTGTGGTGGTGGGAGATTCAGAGGTGGACTGCTCCTGAATCTGGAGGATCCACGTCGCGAGGGAGGGGAAAGTCGACCTGGCTGGCCAGAGGCCTTTGGTGAAAATCTGGAGGAGAAAGGAAGCTGACTGTGCATATCTTTTATGCATTTGTGTGTGGTAGTCTGGCGTGTTTACACAAATAAATCTCTGTGTATGGAAACCGCCCTGTCTGTTGGACTTGTCCTCGGGCAGCAGGCGGGCGTCTTCCCTGGCACTGCGCCCGCATCGGCCACCTTCATGCAACGTGCTTCTCAGCTCAGCGGAGGATCCCTCGGCCTTTACACAGAGCTAGACGTTTTTAAAATGTAGTGCTTGTGCAAATCCCCCCCGGGGGTTGGTTAGTTGTTCTTGCGCGACCCAGGAAACGGTGAAGCCGAGAGGGAGCTCAGGGTGCCAGGCGGGTGACCTGAGCGCCTCTCTCTCCTCCCCTGGCAGGGCACCTCTGGTGGCGAAGGGCCGGCCGGGCCCCCAGGCGAACGGGTAAGCAGCTGCCAGGGAGCAAGCCAGGCGTCTCGATGCAGACTTTGACCGGGTCCGGCTGCCGGGTTGCCCGAACAACG